CATGATAAAATTTTAAATGATACTGAGAATGAAATACTATATGAATATATTTATAATCTATACTTGGGAAAAAGCAGATGATCTACATATCCAAAGAGAACATTTTGTAGTACACTGGTAGATACAGGGGATGTTAGACACCCTACATCAGTGCTTAATTTTTTTTTTAATGTAAGTGTTTCTGGAGAACTTGCACCCAAGAATCCCACAAATTCTCCATGGTAAGCCCTGGGCACTAACTTCCCATCTTAGAAAAGAATTGTGGAGTAAGTAGGGAATACAACAGACTAGAAGAATCATAATACTTCAATTAATCAATTGTGGTCAATATAATGGAACAGTCATTTAGCTGATATAGGACAGGAATGTAATTAGTGTCAATCAACATCTTTTAATCAAAAATAGTATTTGTAGAAGAAGTCTGATTTAATTCTTTAGGAGAATATTCTGATGTATATTAACAACTACAAAATACTCCTGACTTGTTAAGCTGCTTTTCTACGTTACTGCATTCTCTTGAAAGAAAAATAAAAGCTCTCCACAGTATTGCTAAAGTACACAGTAAGAATGAAGACCATGGAAGTGACAAACCTGAAAAAGTAGCTCTCAATGAAGACAGAAAAGGAAATATCTTTAATGAGGTCCATCCTGATTCAGGTTTCCCCATTAGTTTCTGAGCTTAGCAAACCTATGTAAGAGAAATGTTTGCAGAATATAAATAATGGCAAGTAGAGAGCACTCTGGGTGACCTTAGCTGCATTTAAGTTCTACCTATTAAAAAAAAAAAATGTTTCCCCAAATGAAAAGTTCTCTGCCAAAGAAGGGAAAGGCAGATTCTGTCTGGAGGAGGGGCCCTTATGGCTGAATGCTGTGGATGGAATGGATAACAGGGGACACAGCTAATGGACGACATAGTTGAACACTCTGTATGAAGACGTCAGAAAAAGAGCTTTGCAAGGAAGGAGCACATAATTAACTTAGAAGGGGGGAAAAAAATAGTTGCTTTTCTTTTCAATTTATAGAAGTGGGGAAGTGCGACTGCCTCAGTATTGTATTGGACAATCACAAAACTCTTGGAAGTACCTCAGAAGTTCTTCAGTACTAGTGGTCACAGTGACCATATAACCCCCAAGCCATGCTGAGGTAAAAAGTCCTGGGGCATTTGAGGTGTTTTAACTGAGTATCAGGAAAAAGAACGTGCCTTCTCCCTCTGTGGAGAACAAGCAAGAGTAATGCTTAGCCCTGATATGGTGTTCATGGTCTTTTAAGAGACCCACAAAAAATGGACTTAAACTAGACAAAGGCTGTATCATAGGAGAATACAGAAGCTGTACGAAGATAACTTGATTATAGAGTGTGAAGTTTCCACGAGGGAGAAAGCATCATGTATTAAAAGTCTATGCCAGCTCCCCCTGGTCCCCCCAGCCCCACTCCAATCAAACAAACGCAAGAGGGAGGGAAAGCTGGACAAATTTTGGTGGGTTTTTTTTCAGTCAGACATGAAGTTGTGCTTAATACAGGGATAACCGACTCAAAGGTAATTGCTTGTGATATAAAGGAGACCAGGGGATATGGTCTAATGATATATTTGGTCCTAAACTTTAGGACTGTAAGTCTGCTTGCTGTTTTCTATTCCTCCCAATTACTGAATAATCCACCCTGAAAAGGTGAGTTGTCCTCTCATGATTGCTCTTCTCAGTGCTTTTTTACAAAATCTTGAAGAATTTCCCAAGGAATGTGTCCCTCGTTCTCAGTGAGAAGTGATTTACACATGAATGCCACGCAGTAGGGAGTCAAGTTCAAAAGTAGTAGAAAGTCAAGTTCATTAAGCTATTTTGCCTTCTTGTCAGTACACTCAGCAACAGACACCCACCCCTATAAACTACAAAAGAGCCATTGAAATGGATCAAGCTGTGGTTACAAGTAGAAGGAGTGTTTGGAGGTAAGGAGGCTAGGCAGAATAAAGGCACCATCACTAAAATGCTGTACATTTGGATTTCCAACATTATTGGATATGGAACAAGAAAACCCATTCTCTGCACATACCTAAAACCTATGCCACCACAGCAGTGAGTATTAGTTCTTTCTTCTACACTTTTTATGTCATTTTTTGAAACAACTAGGCTGCACATCGGAAATGCATGTTGCACGTTATCCAGGGCCAACAGCTGGATTTGTAGAAATGACAGTACATTAGTACAAACCCTCCATTGTGATTAGACGTCAAGGGCAGGTATCAGCAAGCGCCTAAGAGCCGCTGAGCATAGAGCCAGTAATACATGCAAACATTTGAGAGGCACATTAATTTCTGAAGATTGAATTCAGTTATGCACTACTATTTTGACACTAAGACGTCAGTACAAATGATCAATGCTATTATTTGCACTGGTGCTTTTGTTACAGAAATACGTCTACCTAACGAATCCTCTTTTATTCAGAACTTACCTCTCTTACTCCTAGATGGATGTACACTACAGATCTAACTCCTCTCTACTTGATTATTTACCCCTATTACTAGTCAAAGCACCCCATTATGCAAGGTATCAAACTATCACGAGTCATCTGCTTGAAATAAGAGAGGCTTGATAGGCCTAAACGTACCACAGAATGCTATAATCATATACTTTCTTTGCAAGCTTTCTCAGGAGCACACAAATTGCCATCTTTATTAGAGGCCATTAAACATGTTTGGATAAAAGAAGAGTCAGTGCATGCTACCACTTGAACCACAAAACAAACTAAAAATAAGCCTTTATACTGATTATAAAAAAATCAAGACATTGTTCCTTCTAAACAAGAATATTTACATATCTGCAATTCTTGTCTGGGAATAAATAGTATTTAAATACTTATCCCAAATCAGACAGCAATGGCAAGCTCCTAAACTAAGCTCAGATAATTTACTAGTGTCTCAAATCCAGTGAGACTTCTGATGTCTAAAAAAATGGAAACAAATCTCTATATGCTTTGCCATGAATATTTTGTCTCAAAGGATCCCCCAAGTTTGCAGAGCAAAGCTGTCTTCCTTGTTCCCTTTAACGCTATTTCTTATATAAAGAAGGATGTGCTGGAATGTTGAAGAAGAAATACAGAACCCGTGCGCATATACTGCACATGTAAATGATGATCATGAGTTCATGAGAACACACATACCTTGGAATTTATAAGATCTGAAATAGGGAGAATGAGGTCAAACTTCTTATCTAGATACAGAATGACCAAAAGAACTCCATCAATATGAACCCAAGCTATACTCCCTTGAGGCTAAATACTAGATGCTTAAAAACTGCAAGCTGGCAAGTCTGGATGGTTACCTTACTGATCCCAAACAGGAATAGTCATGGTTTCACAGCACTGTCCCAATTGCAATGCCTATTTCACAACAGAGACCTGACCATGTACAGTGCTAGAATTTCCACATGCAAAAAGTATTTTTCCTGCAGCAAACTGAAATGTGATTGAAATGTCGCAGATATCCATCGGTCAGGCACCTAAGAAAAGCAATAGTACGGCATAGGCAGGCTTTCTGTGCAGTTGTTGGATGAACTGGAAAGTTAAAAGCTCATTAACTTCATTTTTTTCATAGCTCTAATAAGCATATTTACACCAGGCCCTCTTTTTCTCACTCTACATTTCAACATATTAGTCTTTTCTGTTTGGCTTCAGAACATTTTTCACCTCTTTAGAAAACAACTTTTATGCTTATTCTTTCATTACAGACAGACATAGCTTCCCAGGCACCGCTATGGTCTGTAATGTAAAAGTCACATCCTGGAAGTATCAGTCAATATCGGCCTTTTCAAGAGCACCCAAATCTGCTGCTGTCAAACAAGTGGGATGCTCACAGTCAGCTCTTCTATCCTTATCACCCACTCGTTCCAGTCCAGTGACCTTTCTAGCACAATAAAAGCTGCCAATGTAATGCAGACATGCTAAAAGTATGCAAATGCCAAGTGCTATTAAATGTGCCCATTGTCTGTTGAAAGTCAAGTTATTGCTTCCTCTCCGTCACAAGAAATCTCTAAGATCCTTGTGCAAATAAGGACAACTGGAGGTTATATTGATTTACATTCCTTAAATTCAAACAAGCCTTAGGAATATGTTTAAAGGCAGTATGACTTCTTCAGAAGCTTGTAAAAGATATCTGAAGTGAGTACGTGCTTTGTAGATTACATGGATATCATACTTGTTTCAAAATATTATGGCAAGGGCAACTGGAATGCATTGAGCTTGACCTGGGGGCAAGTGAAGAAGGAGTTGAAAGCTTGTGGGTTAGAATTAAGGGACAGGCTCACACGGGTGACATTACGGTGGGTGTATACTATAGGCCACCTGACCAGGAGGAGGAGGTTGATGAGGCCTTCTACAGGCAGCTGCAAGCAGCCTCACAGTCACAGGCCCTGGTTCTCATGGGGGACTTCAACCACCCTGACATCAGCTGGGAAGACCATACAGCTAGGCAGGCGCAATCCAGGAGGTTCCTACAGAGCATCGATGATAACTTTCTGATGCAAGTGGTGGAGGAACCAACAAGGAAAGGCGCGCTGCTGGACCTCGTGTTAACAAACAAGGAGGGACTGGTGGAGGACGTGAAGGTTGGAGGTAGACTCGGCTGCAGTGACCATGAAATGGTCGAGTTCAGGATCCTGCGTGGAGGAAGCAGGGCGATAAGCAGGATCAAAACCCTGGACCTCAGGAGGGCTGACTTTGCCCTCTTCAAGGAGCTACTGGGAGGAATCCCGTGGGCCAGGGCTCTCGAAGGCAGGGGGGTCCATGAGTGCTGGTCGCTTTTTAAACAACACTTCTTCCATGCACAGGAGCAATGCATCCCCCTGAGAAAGAAATTTAGCAAAGGAGGAAGGAGACCTGCATGGTTAAACAAGGAGCTTCTAGCGGAGATCAGGCAGAAGAGAAAGGTGCATGGCATGTGGAAAGAGGGACAGGCCACTTGGGAAGAGTACAGAAACGTAGTGAGAGCATGCAGGGATGCGACGAGGAAGGCCAAGGCTCACCTGGAATTGAAGCTGGCAAGGGATGTCAAAAACAACAAGAAGGGCTTCTTCAACTACATCAGCAGCAAAAGGAAGGCTAGGGACAACGTGGGGCCGCTGCTGAATGAGGCGGGTGTCCTGGTGACGGAGGATGCGGAGAAGGCAGAGCTAATGAATGCCTTCTTTGCTTCAGTCTTCAGTGCTAAGACTGGCCCTCAGGAATCCCAGGCCCCGGAGGGAAGAGAAGAAGCCTACAAAGAGGACGACTTTCCCTTGGTCGAGGAGGACTGTGTGAGGGATCGCTTAAGCGATCTGGATGTCCACAAATCCATGGGCCCCGATGGAATGCACCCACGAGTGCTGAGGGAGCTGGCGGATGTCATTGCTGAGCCACTCTCCATCATCTTTGAGAGGTCCTGGAGGACAGGAGAGGTGCCCGAGGACTGGAGAAAGGCCAATGTCACTCCAATCTTCAAAAAGGGCAAGAAGGAGGACCCAGGGAACTACAGGCCGGTCAGCCTCACCTCCATCCCGGGAAAGGTGATGGAGCAGCTTATCCTGGAGGCCATCATCAAGCAAGTGGAAGAAAAGAAGGTTATCAGGAGTAGTCAGCATGGATTCACCAAAGGGAAATCATGCCTGACCAATCTGATAGCTTTCTACGATGACATGACTGGCTGGGTAGACGAAGGGAGAGCTGTGGATGTTATCTACCTTGACTTCAGCAAGGCTTTCGACACAGTCTCCCATGATATCCTCCTGGGGAAGCTGAGGAAGTGTGGGCTGGATGAGTGGTCAGTGAAGTGGATAGAGCTGAGTCTAGTTGGAGGTTGGTAACTAGTGGTGTCCCTCAGGGGTCAGTACTGGGCCCAGTCTTGTTTAACTTCTTCATCAACGACCTGGATGAAGAGTTAGAATGTACCCTCAGCAAGTTTGCTGATGACACCAAACTGGGAGGTGTGGTAGATACACCGGAAGGCTGTGCTGCCATTCAGCGTGACCTGGATAGGCTGGAACGCTGGGCAGAGAGGAACCTGATGAGGTTCAACAAGGGCAAGTGCAGGGTCCTGCACCTGGGGAGGAACAACCTCATGCACCAGTACAGGCTTGGGGTGGACCTGCTGGAGAGCAGCTCTGCGGAGAGGGACCTGGGTGTCCTGGTGGACGACAGGTTAACCATGAGCCAGCAGTGTGCCCTGGCTGCCAAGAAAGCCAATGGGATCCTGGGGTGCATCAAGAAGAGTGTGGCCAGCAGGACAAGGGAGGTTCTCCTTCCCCTCTACACTGCCCTGGTGAGGACTCATCTAGAGTACTCTGTCCAGTTCTGGGCTCCCTACTTCAAGAAAGATGAAGAGCTACTGGAGAGAGTCCAGCGGAGGGCTACAAGGATGGTGAGGGGACTGGAGCATCTCCACTACGAGGAGAGGTTGAGGGAACTGGGCTTGTTCAGCCTGAAGAAGAGAAGGCTGCGAGGGGACCTTATAAATGCCTACAAATATCTGAAGGGTGGGTGTCAGGAGGATGGGGCCAAGCTCTTTTCAGTGGTGCCCAGTGACAGGACAAGGGGCAATGGGCACAAACTGAGGCACAGGAAGTTCCGTCTGAACATGAGGAAGAACTTCTTCCCTCTGAGGGTGACGGAGCACTGGAACAGGCTGCCCAGGGAGGTTGTGGAGTCTCCTTCTCTGGAGATATTCAAGACCCGCCTGGACAAGGTCCTGTGCAGCCTGCTGTAGGTGACCCTGCTTCGGCAGGGGGGTTGGACTAGATGACCCACAGAGGTCCCTTCCAACCCCTACTATTCTGTGATTCTGTGATTCTGTGGGCTTCCACAGGAAACTAGCTGTTCTACTCACTGTGAGTCCTGATGACAGCTGGACACCTACTCCCCTGTAGGACTCAGAAAATCATAAAGTCCTAACAAAGAGGCAATCAAAGCCTTTTAATACTAATTTACAGTTTATTGCCTTCTTACCACACAGCTGACATGAAAGAGGTTTAGAAAGAGAACAATGACAACGTTTCATGCAGCCAAATCTTGATCTCAGTCGTATCAGAGTGCCGGATAGCCTTTTAACAAGCAGAGAGGTGGAATTAAACAAGCAATTAATGCCCTCTGGTTTCACAGCCAGTCTGGCACAAGGCATTTTGCTAGCAGGTCAGTCAAGAAGTAAAATTCATTTTAGTTCAGGGTTCTCTATCTCTCGTTTTATAAGATTTATGAATTAATTATAGTAAATGAAAATGTAGTGAAATAGAGATTTCTAGTGTAAACTTTTAACAAAGTTCTACAAATATTGCCAACTCATTCTGAAGCCGTCAGTTTCCTACTTAGCCACAGGAGTTTCCAGAGTTTGAATAATGACAAGCCACCAAGAACAATGATAAATTTAAAAACAAATTAAATATAAAACACTGTCTCCTATAGAAAAGTGTAAGACTATCGTGGAAAGCTGAGTTTTGAACCTAAAGATTAATGCATAAAATCCAAATTTTAGAGCATGTAAACAAAATATTCCTGTCAATGTCAAACAGCAACAAAGAAGAAACAAATCTTGGCTAAACTACAATAACACAGTAAGTGTAGAAATCATACTTTCACTTGCACATCAGGGTAACTGACTTACAACTACCACATTTGGTTGGTAAACACGTATTCACAGGTCAGTGCTGAGACCTATACAGACTATGGTTTTTCTGATAATTTAACTCCACACATCTGCGACCAGATCCATAGTGAGTGAGGAGAACTGTGTAAAGGACCACAGACAGAAATGAGAAAAGAGTTTTATTTTCTTTACACCTCTTTTACTTTAGAAAACGTTAATGGAGTCTAAAGGGAAAAGTGACTTTTTCTGAGGGAGCAGAAGTCTCCACAGGGAAACATTTAGATAATGAACGCTAGAACTGGTTAATTAAGACCCTTAATGAGAGGTCAGGAGAGAGCCTTAGATAGGTATCTTCTGGTAAAAATGTATATACTTCATTGTGTCAACACAAGAGAGTAACAATGTTATATTATAAAATAAATCTACATTTTCTACTTTTTGCAATATTAATTTCTATTGATATTCATCACAGTTGGACTCAACGAAATTAAGGGTCTTTTTCAACCTAAATGATTCTATGATTCTCTGGTTATTCAAGCTAAATTAAATTCACCAATGGGCAACTAAAGTTAATTTAGGACTCCAGCAACAGAAAAAAAGAGAAAGGAAAAATATGAACAAAATAGCACAACTTTGTATTCTGTGCTAGACAGAAGGTAGTTGGACACCTAAACACACAGGTATGTCTTTAGCAGAATTCTCGAAAGTCATGTGAATTAAATGGGAAGCAGGACTGAAAATTTGGCTAGAAACCAGTAAGTAAAACACTCCTTGAGTTTAGCGTGGTCTGGTTCATGTGTTCTGAAAAGGGCAAGCTCCTTTTCCGTGACATAGAAAAGAAGATACACCAGAGCCCGAACTCCATAGAGAAACTGCCTCTGGAATTATTACTGCATCACTTAAATATCAAGATTTAGATATTCCCTTTTAACCAGTGATGCATATTTAATTTATGTTTAACTTTTATAAAGATCTGTATAAGAGCACAAGTATCTTCTCGTCTCACCTTTTCTGCCATATGAAGTGATTTGTTTTCTAAGCTATCTTTTGTTCTTTGGCTTTCATAATGTAACACAGCTGTGCACACAAATCCAAAAATAATATAAAAATAGTAACAACAACAATAATAATAATAAAGTCAAGCAGCCTTCTTTCCTGTTCATTACAACAACAACAACTATAACAATAAACTTAAGCAGGCTTCTTTTGTGTTCATTACACTTCAGAATTAGGCCCCAAATATGTATCTCCTGCTAATGGGAATCGTAATTGCTCATTTTTTTCTCATTGTAAAAGTAATGTAATACTTTGATTATGGCAGTACATTTTCATGAAATTGTAATTTTCTGATTTTGCCAAATAATAAAAGATAAGATAACAATGCCTTGTCAACACCAAACAGCATCTTTGCTCAGTTAAGCATCACTGTAGCAAATTTAGAGAAGTGTTGTAATAAGATAATCTATGATGTGTTGGGTTTTGTAGTTGATAATACTAAAAATACCTGCCTGTATTTGTTTCAGAATGTATTTCCTCCAGTAAGCTTTGGATATAATCAAATTATTGAACTATATGAAACTGTCTAATAAAAAGATTGTAACTGTAAATATTAATCAGAACATTCATAGGAAACACGGAAAGCAAGTAATATCAAAATGATATGAGTCTCTTGAAAATCCCTAGAGGACAACAGCCAGCAGAAGAAATCTTTAAATTTATGCTCGTACACACTGTGGGTTTTTCTTATTAAAATTTAAATTCATTCTCCTTTTTATAGTAAGCAAGACTGTTTAAACATTGTATTTTTAGAAAAAAAATGTTAGAAATTCTACTGCCAAAAGTACATTTAGGAAAGAAAATGCAAATCTGAAAGAAGTTGCTGGCCTTCTCACAGAGCTTCAAGAAAGTAGAAATGAAAATCAAGGGTCTTCAGTATAGGTGGAGGTAATTTGAACCCAAATTTTTTCTCATTTTAAGGATTTTTCTGAACTTTTCTTTAACAGTGTCTCATACTGCTACTATCTACCATCGGCTGGTATTTAGCAGAAGGATTAACATCTGTCTCAGAAGTGTCTTTTCTTTGTGCCCTGAATTCTATTCAGATTTGGCAGACAAGTAAAGTTAAAAATTGTTACTTCCTAAAGAGGAAAAGGCGTAAGGACATAAGGAAAACAGTTTGCAGATAAATTCCTTCCCAGAAATTTTTACTTGAATGTACAAAACATTTGAAGTTCTGTGGCCAATTCCATAGCTGAGTATGTCACACATATAATACATACACTTTCATTCACATTTTAAAGTGAATTATCTTTGGCAGCATTCAGATTTCTTCTGAATTCACTTTTCTAAATGTTTCCAGTGATGGAAATATTTGGCAAAACAGTAAATGTTGCAGAATACTTAATGGATAGAAAACTTATTTAAATTATTATATTGGAAAGTTAATTTTGAACATAATTTTATTCTTTTCAGGGACAAAAAAAACACCCATCTTTTTTGTTCACTGAAAATCACAGCGATGAAGACTTCCAATAATTTTTCGCTCTTGTTGCTGTCCAAGCAATAAGTTTCTGAACAGGAAGCCAGTAACCATTATCTAACTGTAAAACTGCGTAGTAGAGACCAAATGTCTTGAATAAGGTCACAAATTAGTATCTGAACTGGGAATAAAATTCAGATCAGATGTTGTCTAAAATCTCTGCTCATGACTTCATAACAGTTTGCTAACTAGTAGAACAGAAATTAGAATAGAAAGTAAGAGCAGCATCTGTATCAGTTCATATGGTTACTACTGGATTCCAGTGTGCTCTTCAAGCACTGTCACAAAGAAGGTGCCATGCTCATTGGCTAAATACTCTCCAAAATTGCCCAAATACTTCTGCTTCCTAGCCCAATTCTTGTGACAGTTGAGCTCAATAAAGGACATGAAAAATCAGATCACTTGGGAATTCTAAACTAGGCTTTAAATAGTGAATTAACAAATTATTATCTAGTACAGATGTGTCTGAAACTGTGATGGAATCATTTAAGAAAGTCTACATGTATCCTCTATATTCACAGACTGTTTTGGATACAAAGAATGTTCCCATTTATTTATTTTTTGAACTAAAAAGACTTGGTCTGCGGAACAGTCAGATCCTAATCAGAGGGCTAGAGGAGAAACTGCATACCCATATGTTTAAGTGATGTTTCCATGGAAACAACTGACTTGATTTGCAGTGTGCAAATTTACCTTCAGCAAATGGCAAAACACATTCTACCTTCCCAAAGGTCTGAGTGTCAGGACATAGACATTGTCTTCCCATGCAATGAATGTGAAGCCAAAGACTCGAGTGCGAAATCAGGGACAAATGCACTCGCATCGCTAATCTGACATATTGCTGCAGTGTGTGCTTGGGGAATCTTAATCAGGATGGGTCTTTTTTTTGGTGTAAGAGACATTTAAGTGGGAATAGTTAACTGCACAGATAAAGGCCAGGAAATAACTGGTTGCAAAAGAGCCCTGGAAAAAATGTATCATCACAGGGATGCTCTGGGCCATCAGACAAACATGAGTTAATAATGCCATGCTGTTTCAGTGAAAAGTGAATGCTGCAATAGGCTTTATTTATAGCAATAGCTCACCAGGCATGTGATGAAATCCTCCCATCCAAGCCCTGGCTGGAATACTGACTTCTATCCAG